GATCAGGAGGATCGTGTGCACTTAGTGTGCTTGAGTTTGTTTGTCGTGCATTGTTGTCGTGCATTGGTGTCGTACATATCATGGTGTCTGGTGGGATGAATCATTGCTCAGGAGGAGTGTATGTGATTCATCCGTACTCCTTTGTGGAGAATGGTGGGGATAGATCATATCTCAGTAGGAGCGTAAGTGATCTGTAGGGGATAGATCATATCTCAGTAGGAGCGTAAGTGATCTGTCGGGATAGATCATATCTCAGTAGGAGCGTAAGTGATCTGTCCAAGGTTCGATTGAATGAACCAATGAGTCGGTACCGCATGCATGGTGTTGAGTTGCATATTTGCATTATAATATGTTATATTGTAATTTGAATAGTAGGTTCGTGATTGGTGTTGTGGGGTGAATATTGGTGTGTTTTAATTATTATATGTTATATGGATGTTTAAACAGTAGGTTCGTGATTGGTGTTGATGGGGTGAATATTGGTGTGTTTTAATTATTATATGTTATATGGATGTTTGAACAGTAGGTTCGTGATTGGTGTTGATGGGGTGAATATTGGTGTGTTTTACTACCTTTATTGCATGTATTAAATTACCAATATATTTTGATCATGTTTTCTTACCCCTTTGTTGTGTTGTGGTATGTGCTTCCTCGGAAGTACAGATAATCCAGGTACATAGATAGCTTGGATGGCGGTGTGCAAGTCGAGTCTTAGGATGCTCTGATACGTAACACGGGATATGGGTGTTTTATTTGTTTATGTTAAACTTGTTGAAAATCCTGTGACGTATCACATTTTGGTGAATTATAATAATAAAGATTTTATGTAAATCTGGCGGATGGCCGAGAATGTTGGAATAATAATTTCCGCTGTATTATTTTGAAAATAATGAATAAAGTATTTTTGATAACTATTGGTGATGTGATATCCCACAGTTTTTGTGAAAACTCTGATGTTTATTTATAATGTTTATATTTTATTTAATTTGGGAAGTGGGGTGTTACATCTCCTTTCTCATATTACACATCAAACAGTCGGGAATACTAACCACTAACCACAATCCTCAAGGTTTCATTATCGGTTTTTCTTAATTTCCCACGATCAACCCAAAATACCCTTATAAACTTCACCATAAACACACCGAAAGGTATACATAGAAAATCATGAAATGCGATACTCCCCATACCTTAGCCGATTCAAAGCTTTCACGATTAACTCCGGCAACCTTTCGAAGCTTTTGCCTCCACTGATCCCTCCTTAGAGCTCTGGCCTCCATTCTTTTCACGGTTAACCAAAATGAATCCCAAACCTTCAGAATTCTATTTTGTCAAACTTAGACTTGGGCCACACAATTGGGCTTTTCCTATAACACCCTTACTAACTCTTCATAATGCCCAATTTACCCTTATTTCACTTATATTTATTTTAATTCATAATAATATTAATAAATCCATATTACATACTATTATTCCAAAATAAATACTCCAAATATGCATAATTCCCCAATCATTCCCAAAACCACCGAAAACATCAAAAATACGAATATTCTCAATTAAATAAATTAATTAAAATATTCCGATAAAATTCGGGGTGTTACATATATGACTTCAATAATTTCCTTTGACTTGCTTCCTGCATCCTTGCTGAAGAAATTCTTGTGTTGCTTTTCCTGCACACATTCTTCACACACTTCATTTGGAATGTCGATTTTTGGTAATCCTGAAACCATATTTTATTACTTCAGATCTCTAGTGTCTTTAAAGTTGAGATGACAAAATCTATAGTGCCATATCCATTCATCTCTGCTATCAGCAGTTGCAAGGCATTTATGCTCTATCACATTAAGCTTAATCTTGAAGGTTCTATTCTGAGACATTGGAGCCTTCAAGGTCAACCTTCCATTTGAGTCGAGAACTCTCATCATCTTGTCTTAAATCGACACCTTATAGTTCTTTCCGACCAACTGCCTTATGCTAAGCAAATTTCTCTTCATGCTTAGTATGTATAACACATTGGAAATTACTGACCTTTTGCCATATTTCCTTATAATCAGAACGTCACGGATACCTTCAACTTTGTTTACATCAATAACACTTATTTACTATTATACGGTAATTGTTTTAATTAGATATGGTGCACCCCGATGTTTTTCTCAAACAAGTTATGTCTCAAAATGTCAAAGGTGTTGTTGTGAAGACGGTAAATGTTAGAAATCCACCATAACTTATGGAGAATTTCTATCAATCTTGATGAACAAGATTATTATAGATACAAAATAATAATAAAAATAAAGAAAAATTGTAGAAGAAAGAAAATTAGAGTTTGACAAAATATAGAAGAAGATGATGATTTCTGCAGAGTAACTCTCTGCCCGCAAATTGTGAAAAATGTATTCACTTTGCAACTGCAAAATTCTGTAAATTCAAGTTGTTACAAGAATAAGGCTTAATCCCTATATTTATAGTTTTAGGTTACCTTGATTCGACATTTTGACACACACACACACACGACTAATTTTGACACATCCCCGTTTCTGTCGAACACTACCTGCTTCGACACAAGGAATTGCATTCTTAATACATCGACTAATTTATTATTTCTAAGCTATCTATATTCATCATAACTCTTAGTCTTCTGAACACTTCGAACTGCACTCCTTTCGTTATGATATCTGCAATCTGATTTTCAGTTCTACAATGTTCCAAGTTCATCTTCCCTTCTGCTACATGCTCATGAAGATAATGGAACCTTATTTTGATGTGCTTGCTTTGTCCATGTGTTATCAGATTCTTCGTCAGATTGATAGCAGACATGTTGTCGATCTTCATGGTAATTGCTACATGACTCTTCGATGCAATCTCTTCGACTAGGTTCACTATCCACGTTGCTTGACATGCACAAAGAAAACAACTATGTACTCTGCTTCGTACGAAGACAATGTTATTACTGACTCATTTCTCGAACTACAAGCAACTGATACACCACATAACATAAACACATAGGCAATGTTGATTTTCTATTCTCAGCATCACTACACCAACTTGAGTCAGTGTATCCTACTAACTTGCATTATTTTTCTTCATTAACTGCAGGAAATAAAATGACATAGTTGAGAGTTCCTTTCAGATACCTTAGTATCCTCTTCGTCGCTGCTAGGTGTGACACCTTTGACTTTTACATGAATCTACTTACCATACTTACATTGTATGTTAAATCAGGCCTTGTGTGACAAAAGCATCTTAATGACCCAATAAGTCTTTTGTATTAAGTTGGGTTGACATCATCTTCATCTAATTCTTTCGACACTTGTAATCTGGACCCAACATGTAAGATATCACTCAAAATGACCTATATTGAGTATTTATTAAGTGCGTCTAAAAATAGAGTTTCGATAATTAAAAAGTATTTTAATATTTTCATGTATTGTATAAATAACATATAGGGTGTATTAAGAAATACCCTTATAAAAATAGGTGGGATAAAGTTATAAGTTATAGTGGTAGGTGGAAGGATAAAATCTTCCGCCTAAGCCTACATGATCTACCCAATGTACATTGTACACAAAGCCCAATTTGTGTAGCTTAAAACACACTGCAAATCTGAAACTATAAATAAAAAAAGTAAAATACAATTAATTAATCAACACAAAGGATCTGACGGTTCTGCATATTCCGTTTAGATAAAACCAACGGCGAAAAGGCTCTCACAAACGACGTAACGGGTTTCCATGGATGGTTCAAGTAACGATATACAAGAACCACAAGATATAAAATCTACGGTCAGGATTTCTCAGAGCGTAGCAGAAGATGTATAAAATTAAGGCTCTTCACAGAAAAAACAGAGCATTTCATTTCATCATCACAACAAAGAGAACGAAGAACAACAACAAACAGTTTTTCAATTTTCTTCCACCATTTCATCTTCAAAATCTAACTCTACAATTCAAGATCTTAATTTTCATCACTGAACGCTTGAAGCTAAGGATCTTCTAATTTATTCAACATAAATTATAAGGTTTATTCTAATCTGAATTGAATTATAATTCTACAACTTTTCAATTCCTAATTTGTTTCTTCTTCAACGAGAATCGCTAATTTCGTCTTGTTTTATGTATTTGCAGGTTTTCAATTGTTAATAATTAAGTTAATTCTGTTCTGTGAAGAGTGCATTTTTTTTTGAAGGTGCTCAAATATTCACAGTTTCATAGCTTTGGCTTCTGTTTCCTTCTTCTATACTATTTTTTTCTGATTTTTTTTATATGCAGATACACACTTCGCTGCGAAAATTCGAAATTCTGGATTCTCTGAAGAAAAGTTCGTAGATCGAAGCTCTGAAATGCCATTGTTAGTTGGATTTTAGGTATGGATTTGTATTTTTCAAAAACAAAGTAAAAATTATCTTGAAGAAACGGTTTTGATTAAATCGGATTAATTTAGAAAGTATTATATATTTGTCGAAATTGGAAGTTAAAAGTTCATTTTTCATTGAAACTGAAAGCGAAAGAGTTAATTTTTCATCGAAATTGAAAGTATTAATTGATATTTTATCATTTTTTATTTTCATTTTTCAGTTCTCAGTTCTTGATTTCTCTCTTCATTTCAATATCTGAAATCTGAAAACTATCTCATTTTCTTCTAGTTGGTGATGTTGCAGAAGAAATTGATTATTCACTAATTGTAAGTCTTTGTTAATTATTGCGTGAATTTCCACGATTCATTGCTTCTTCTTTTTTTTTTAATTTTATTTTTCTCTTTTTTAAATATTGCATGAATTTCCACGACTAATTGTAAGCCTGTTAATAATTGTATTTTTGCTGATAATGAAAACCAAACTCTAATTTCAAGTTTATCGAAACATGAACTTTAATAATTTAGGTTTTCACTAATAGTTTTGGTCGTATAATACAAAAAAATATTTCCAATAATAATAAAAATTGAAATTTACCTTTTTTTTTTTGTTGAACTTTTTGATGATAATGATGACAGGGGAGGAAGGAGTGATGGATAAGGATTCATATAACAACCATGACAATAACAACAACACTTCTAGTTTGAGAGATGGTGATAGAGACAAAAACATAAGAAGAGATGTGTCTGGTTCCTTGTTATTGAGAGCAAGCTCGGATGGATTAGGACAATCAACTACATCAGATTTAGGGTTGCAATGGGGGAACAAGAAGCGATTGAGGTTTATGAAGGTACAAAATAAACAAGACTCTTTAAACCCGGTTCAGAGGACAACAGTTCGGGTGGATCGGAGAGTAGTTAGAACCGAGAAAGATACTTCAAACCGGTTTGCAACATCTCTTGCCGATAATAGCATTATCAATAATCATAATCATCATAATCATAATAATCAAAATCAAAGTAACGGGTATCCTAGCCTCCGTCAACGCGCTCCTTCTCCGCAGCAACCTCTTCCAAGGATTCTCAGGTATTTCACATTTCCTTACTTTTCCCTCTTTTGACTTACCTGATTCCATACATCAGTATATTTGTTAAGACTTTGTGATGTGAGTTGTTAAATGAAACTATTGTGTTTTTTCTTTTGCTAATTTATGCAATTTTGATTTAGTGATCAATTTGATTGATTTGAGTTTGGAAAACAAAAATTGACTTTGAAATGATATGAAACTTTAGATATTTTTTTATAAATATTTTTGCAATTTCAGCAAGATTGTGGTTGAATCGTGGCAGTAGTCAAGGATTTAAGGAATTATAGACGATTGTACTTAAGTTGAGGCATATCAAAGTAAAAAATCGACGAAACGATAGGAATTTGAAATATTAGGTTTTCAATCATTGTTCTTTGAGTTGAGCTATCCACAAAGTAAGAAATTGGCGGAATGACATGAATTTGAAATTTGAAATCGATCTCATATGAAATATTAGGTTTTCAATTATTGTACTTTGAGTTGAGGCATCAAAGTAAAAATTATGGATTGTCACACCAATTATCTTTATGATTTTGCAAATGAATTGTGATCAAGATTGCATTAAACTGCAATTCAACCTCATAAAAATCACGATCATAATGGATCATAATTTAAGTTTCTTTTACCTGATCGTGAGATATAATTATTACTTAAATAGATTAAATTTGACAAAATAAAAAGTTAACATGATTAAACAAGTTGGGATATCGAGTTGGAATAATTTTCTTCAAATTCTGTATTGATATCTAGGTAGTTGGATTAAGATTGAACTATCCATATTTAAACTTTGGTTATATAAGATGATTATGTGAATCGAGTTATTTTTTCTTCAATAAAGAGGAGTGTGATCTTATGGTAAAGATCCAACATTTTAAGAGACTAAAATGACAGTTGTATTTTGTTAGTATTTGGAGCGTGACTTGTTTATCACTTCAATTCATGTTCTTCTCCAAACCATAAAGCCATCATATCACTCCACTTGTTTATAAGTTTTAATGAATAAAATGATACTTTCCATATCTTATAAATAAAATAAATTGTGGTGCTGATGTGATTGCTGCTGGCGAACCAATTAGATGATTCTATCTATCTATTTAAGTGACATTAACGATACTTTTGCTGTATTTGTACTGAATAATACACATATACATACGTATACACGCTTATAATGACTATCAGCCTTGTTTTTTGTCCACTCACCAATCGGTAGGTTCTCGCGTACGTCTCATCCGAATTAAACCAGGAACTCACGGTGAGTGCGTGACATCCCCATCTCTTCTTTACCTCAAAATTTATTGTTAACTATTATGACTAAGCTGACACTAACTTCAATTTTATATTATTTCACACTAGTTGTTGATATGTTCATTATGTGTGCCATCTTCTAGTGCTGTGTTTTGTGTCTGCAAATTGAACCTTTCTTATTTAGGTACAATTAATTGCTATTATCTCATCATTTTTGTAAATGCTTTGACATTCATATGATAAACCCTTAAATCCTTGGGGTATTTTGAAGATCATGTTCTTAACTACCTTGCTTGCTTGCACCTTCTGGATCTAGATCTGAAAAACACCGAAAAGTATTAATAGTAGAACAAAACAAACAACCCTTCATTTTATTTTATCATAAAAATTCCATGATGAGGGTCGATATAATAATAATAATAATGATATAATAACATACACCAGCTTTTGTCGGGACATGGAGCGGAGAGTCTTCATCCACGTGTTCATCTAAACTCATTTACAGCCGTTGGATGATATTCCAGGTGTTAGATCTGGTACATACTATTCTCCATTTCAACACGTAGTAATAAATAAAGTAAAGTTCATCTTTCTCTTCAATATCCCATAAGCAATCTAGATCCAACGGTCCTAATCCTTTCGTGGAACCAGCTGTGTCCGTTATGAACAACAACCACCTTCACTTTACACACATCCCTCTATGTCTCAAATATCCCTCTCTGCCGAAACAAACCTTTTCGGTTAAGTAAAAATAAAGTTAAAGACACACCGAACAAACCAAAAACCAAAAACCAAAAACCACCTTATAAGTTATAATCCACACACGAAACAAAACCTCTTCATGTTCCAACTTCTCCAAGGTCAATATCGTAAATCTATTTCTCCAAAAATTATTTATTTGTTTATTTAATTAATTACAAACAAACAAATATTCTTTATTATTTCTCTATGAATATTTGTTTTTTTTTTCTTCCATATTTATCATGTCATGTTTCATGTTCTTAGGTTAACAAACATAGAATAATCACAATTTTTTCCCCTTGTTCTATTTGATGTATAGGAACACAGAGATTTCAGGTGCCATGAGAGGAACCCAAACCCAAATCAACGGAAGTGTTAGAGGAATTGCTTCACCAGAGAGGGGTGCGCACGATAATAAAAGAGGGACCCACCTTAATGACAACAATAACAAGTCTGCAGGTTCCTCTGATAACGCTTTGGATGGCAAGAAAGGTGGGGGGTCGTCTTCCGGGAGTGGTGATGCGACTCCAGCGGTGTGGCCACCAAAGTTTGTGATTGCCTTGACCAACAAGGAGAAGGAAGAAGATTTTATGGCCATTAAAGGATCCAAGCTTCCTCAGAGACCTAAAAAAAGAGCCAAATTGATACAACGAACCCTCAATGTAAGCTCTACTTTCCTTATATTTTTGCTTTATGTTCTCCAATTTAATTTACTTTATTTAGCTCTATTTATCTTGTCCTTGAACTTTTTTTATATGCAATACTTAGATTGGGAATTTAATCGTAATTGATAAAAATGAAATAAAATTAGAGGTGTTGAGTTCATCGCGTGATCTTAGTTTAGAATTGGCGAATTTCTTCGTCAACAATCATGGTACAATTTGGCACATAATATTAGTTTGGTTTTAGAGCTTCAAGTATATTCTATCAAGTAAAATGGATATACATATTAGTTTTAATACTTTAATTTCAACGAGTTGTACATAAGTGGTTAGATATATAATTCTCATTACTCAATTTTCTTTTTCGATTGCTAACCTATAATTTTTTATACCCTTTTTAAAATTGATAGCTATCCTTAGTCTTGTTGTTTTTTGTGCCTTACACAATTTATTAAAAAAAAGCAAGTAATTTTAGCGGGCATAATCTTTTCTTTTTCCTTTGCACCCTATATGCCTGGAAAAGCCATAAATAGAAGTTGGCAGCTATGAACTGGTATACACGCGTCCACGGGACCATCCGTGGTTCATATCGAATTTTTTTTTAATATTTTTTTTTTGATAAAAGAGATGGGATAAAAAAAAAATTAGTACAGATTTGAAAAAGAAACAAATTTAATGTTAATTAAGGATCAATTTGGTAAAATTCAAATCAGATTTTATAAATCTTGCGGCTGACATGAGAACATTGTTTGAGGACTGAGGTCACTGAAAATAAATAAAAAAGTTGTAATTCAACTCACTTAATTTTTTTTCCATAAATAATATAAACAAAAATCTATGTCGAAATGCAAGTTGCAAGGTGGTAGATGAGCTATCCGATTGTGTTGTTAGTATTGGTGGTGGAGCGATCTAGGGGCATAATATAAAAGTATAAAGTTGTAATTTATTCTGAATTTTGTTTTTTGTTTGTTGCAAATTAATAAATATTTTGGCCCTTTTAAAGAAAAGATAAATATTTTGGTTACAGAAGAAGAAAGAAAAAGGGTTCTTTAATTAGGTGCCACGTCCACGTCAGTTGCCTAATCAATATCTGAATTATATTCTACACGAATACACTTTGGTAGATGGTATTATATTTTATTTTATTTTTTACTCCTGCAAGTATTTTACTTTTAGTCTGTAAATATTTTTGTTTTATTTATTATGATAATGACAAAAAAAAAAAGTAGTAAATAGTACTGTAATATATATTATAGTCTCCAAATAATAATTAGTATAATTTGCTGTGTTGCAGCTTGTAAGTCCAGGTACATGGCTTTCAGATCTCACCTTGGAACGGTATGAAGTTAGAGAGAAGAAAATAACCAAAAAGGTACACTAATAATCAATAAAATAAATGAAATAGAATTTAAGAAAGAATATTGTTATTATTTTTTAATCTTACTTATCATATTATTGTATATATATATTGACTTGACTTGATAACCACTAGTTAGTGTTTTGATTCTTTTGCACATGAATAAAGAAAAGCTAATTTGGAATTTTATGCAGAGACCAAGAGGGTTAAAAGCAATGGGTAACATGGACTCCGACTCTGAATAGAAGAAGCAAGGAAATGAGGAAAGGGTATAAATTATAATAGCAAAGAAATAGACCAAAAAAAAACACTTGCTTTATGCTGTGAGATATGTTGGAGTTGTTGGTGTATAAAGCACAATCGAATATAAATTACTTGGTTTTGATGGTGTTTAACTCACCAACATGTTCATTTTTGCTCTCAAAAATGTCTCCATAATTGTGAAGGATAAGGAAACCCTTTTTCAGCTGAAGGATGGCCTTCAAGCTTGGGATGTCGGATTTACATCTCAATAAAACAATTTGACTAAAAAAATGGTTCCATTGAGCAATCCATCATTCTCTAAGTAGAAAATTCTCTTGTTGACCTTTGAAAATTATTTGCAGCTACTTATGGTTGGAAAATCTTCATTCATTTTACTTGCCATCTCTCATAACGACTGAATTTAATTCGACATTGTTTAAGATATTGCAAGTGAAGTTTATATAAAGTTTGGACAGTTTTCATAAATTGGTTTTTGTTAAATTGAGTTAAATTTAATCTAAATATATTTAATTTTGTAAAGTTGAGTTAATTTTTTTTTATTGAAGATAAAAATAAGATATATCAAAGAGAAAAAACTAGAAAACTAAAAAATTAGAAAACTAAAAGGGATTATAATGAGAGGGAAGCATACACATTAGGTTAAACACTCATTTAAAGGTCAAAGACTCACCCAAACAAGTGAGAAAGACATCACATATTCACCCAAACCTTAAGGTGATAGGCGTATGAGTTCTCTCACTTATAAAGTGCTCAATTTCTATTTTTTTAAACAATGTGGGACTTAGAACTCACACTTGTTTCACAACACCCTATAGATGGAATAAGCACGACTATTAGAGCACGATCATTAGAGTCCCACATCAGAGGGGGTTTTAGAAGGGCCAACAAACCTAACCAAGATACTATGATAATGTTGTATTATGATTAAAGTAAGGAGAGGTATAAGTATCTTAATTTGATTGTATGTATTAGTAATTAATTTAAAATAATTAATTATGATACGAAGGTCCATATTCATGGGATAAAGTTGGAGAAATTTTAGATGTATATAAGTCTAATGTGGCCCTGAGTTTAAAAAATGACGTTGGTTTGCTCCCTCATATGTGTTGTTCTCTCATTATGTTTGACGCTCATTTGTTATTTGCTTTTGTAGAATGATGGCATAAGGATACATTTACATTCCATCTTTCATTTAGGGGATGCCGATCACCTTGAATGATTTCTCTAGATTGTTATATCTCTCCCGGGAGGTAACTTTTTCATCCCTCTATTAATGGGTGTTGAATTGACCACTAAAGTGTAGAAACGTACTTAAGTAACATTCTAAAGGAATTTAAGTTTAACAAGGATGCTCTTTTTTCGTTTCTCCTGGCTATGTCAAAATTATGTAGGTGGAGCATGTGATGTACTAGGATGCCACCAGAGTATACATGATGCATTTGGTTGGATGTACTATTTTGGAAGATAAGATGTCTACATTGATGCGAGGTATATATCCCAATTCATAAACTGAGTTTCATGGAGGGCATGAGGATGTAATGATGTGACACTTCTATCATATGCCCTCTGAAAGGCTGATGCATTTGTAACGAGGAAATTTGTTGGTTAAATGAGTCCCTTTCAAGTATATATTTCTTGTATTTTTTTGCAGGCATTTATGAAAAATTATATGGTTTGAAATTGTATGTTTTTACCGCAATGTTGAATCTACGAGTACTTTCACTCCCTTTGAGATAACCATGATAGGGGTTCTATTATTCATGGTTCTTTACAACTCACCTATGAGGTCTTCAAAAGCACTGAAGCTAGAATTTTCACCCTTGATGAAGTCATTTGACTCCATACACTGAGAGTTTGAGGACACTGTAGTATTTTCTTGTTATCTTTCTTGGGAGAGTTAAATGACTACTTACACATTTTTGATGGGTGTCTCGACCGATTTGGCTAAGTGCGGAGCATACCACAACCACTCCCTAGTGTACCATGTAGCGTTGATGGACGATTTTGTGCAAACATGATGAGTATTATGACCATGATTAGGCAAAATCCAATGTTTACGACTTTTTCTAAGAAGTACATGGATGGATACTTAGAATGGTACTATAGAGTATCACATTCTCTTGTTATCCCTTCAGGTTCAATTGGCCCTACCGATGTTATTGCACCTTCAATTATTCTGCCTCGACCATCTAGTATGACTTAGTGACATATGTTGTAGATGATAGTGTTTCTTTCTAATAAACTCATGGGTTTAATAAATGCAGACAGTGAGCCTACTGTTTTAGGAGCGCAGATTGCACACATTGCATGTGATGGGCCGATATAGATGTATTACTATTACTTGTTGGATCATATTTTGTTGTTGTTGTTGTTGTTGTTGATTTTTTGTAGTTTCATGACATTTTCACATCGTATTATTATTTGTTCATGACTTATCGTTGTATTATTACTCGGACGTTATAGATGACTTACTTATTCATGACTTAATATTAAGTATGTGGTTAAAAGCATAAATATCATGAAATATGAGATTATTGTGTAGATACCATAAGTCAATATCTAATTTGATGAGGAGAAAAATTATAATGTTGAAAGCTAAAAAATAACCCTAAGGTTATTTATAGGGATTATGGTCCCCATTTGTAGACAACGTGAAAACGGCTCATCAGAGGAGATTCAATGAGCCATAAGGAAACTATACAAATTGGAACATCAAATACCTGTAAACCTTTAGTGATTCCCAATGGAAAATTCATGTATGATTCCGCTTTTATTCTCTGATTGAATTTTGATGTGAGTTTAAGCGATACAAGTTGATGGTATATCGGCTCAAAGAGATTATTTTAGAGTTATGTTCTTGATTTATATCGATAGAAATAATAAGGTTATGAACAAGTCTAACAAGTGGTATCAGAGTCACCTATATCTGATTTAATTTGTTTTGGGATACTTTTTAAAAACCCTTATTTTCTAAAAAATTGAGATTTATTATTATCTTCTTATTTGTGTAAAACCAATTTGACATAATAATTGTATGTGGTGCTTACCGGTTATCAAAATGTATTGTATAATTTATTTTTTTGGGTAGCATTACCGATAATAGTAAACCATTTGGAAATTTTGTTAATTGTATGTGGTACCAGTTACCGATATATTTCTCAGGTGTTTACCGGTTAATTGTATGTGGCACCATTAACAATTTTATTTTTGCCTTTGTTGGTATGGTGAATAATTGTATTTGAAATAATAATTCAAAAGCAAGGGCTGACGACCGTGTGTGTGTGTTGTGTGTGCGTGTGTGTATATATATATATATATATATATATATATATATATATATATATATAATTTTTATTATTATATATTATACATGAAATCATGGATTGAACAACTCTGTGATACTTGAGTTTTTTTCCCGCATTTATCCCCTACGATGAACATGGAAGCAACCATGTTCCTTGTAAATTTTTTTGTTATTATTGTTTTTCTTTTGGATCAATTTTGTTCGAATTTGACTATGAATTGTATTTTTTATACAATAATTTAACTTTTTAAGTGAGAAATTGAAATGAAAAAGTCGTCAAAGTGACCTATTTTATGGAAATTGCTTACAAAAAAAATATTAAATATTGTTCTGGTTTGTGTGTATGTTTATTCACGCGAGTATCAGTTGACCCAATAGACAATTGATGGTTGTTCGATTTTCGTACGCGCCTTTGATGGTAAACATGTGATACTTATAAGCCCTTACATGTTAATGATAAATCAATTCAAAGAAGAGTTTATTATTCGACATGCTTTTTTATTATCAATGTTCGATCGTTACAACAAGAGTACCACTAGCAGTTAATCTAGTGTCCAAAGACTCAATATTAATGGTGCACCAGGTATCTTGAGATGGATTATGTTTTTATTTGAACAAATTGATAATTCTGTTTTTTGTGTGAGTAAATTTATAGTGTTTATTATGTTCTATTTTTCAGCTATAATTTCTTCAATATCTACTAATATGAATAAGGTTCAGGTCCTTAATGGGAGAAATTTTAAGGATTGTAATAAGAGCATGAAAATTGTTCTTGCCCATATAGATCTTGATCTTGTATTAGGGATAGACCAACCATCTTCTTCTACGGAATCTAGTACCTCTAAACAGAGAAAAAATTATGAGAAGTGGGATCGCTCTTATTGCATGAGTCATGGTTTGGTCTCTTATGAGGTCAATTTAGCTTTAATTCATGGAAACACTTAGTGGTTAGACTCTAGTGCAACTACTAATATTAGTGTTTCAATGAAGGGTTACCTGAATTACCGAAAGTCAAATGATGTTGAAAGATACATCTATGCGGGAGATGGCAAGTCAGTGATGGTGGAAGCTATATATAATTTTAGATTATTGATGTGTACTAGATTTTATTTGGATTTGAAAGACACTTTTGTGATTCTGTCATTTAAAAGAAATTTAATTTCAGTTTCTTATGTTGCATATAGAGTTACACACACACACAGACACACACACACACACACACACACACATATTGAACAGTGAGAAGTTACTTTATTGGTTATTCTGAAAGATCTATAGGCTACAAATTTTACGATCCCAAATTCAATTCAGTTTTTGAGACGAGAACAACCACATTCTTTGAGGATATTGAGTTTGAGGGAAGAATAAGGTTAGAGACTTTGTTTTAGAGGAAGACTCGGTAATGATTCCAGAACCGATTCATATTTGCTTTTGATCAAACAAGAACAAAACCTCCATAAGAAATTATTGAAATTCCTCCAACTCAAGATGATTTGGTAATTCACTGAGAACAAATTCAAGATCCTTCAGAACACGTGTTACAAGAACCAGTAACTTTGAAGAGATCGACTAGAGAAAGGAGAAATGTTATTCCAGATGATTACATAGTCTTTTTCTAAGAATATGATGAAAATAATGGTACGATGGAAGATGATCCAATCAACTTCAGTCAAGCCA